CTTGTCATCAAGACTTGCCAATCGAACCTAATGCACCTGAGCGTAAAATCGTGAAACGCTGATCACAGAACTTCAGGAGGAGTGCATTTCTGCAGGTAATGTCCCTATTACACTTTCATAGTGCTGTCCAGTGGATGTAAGCACCAAAATCGGCCACATACGAGCAGCGCTGAAACTGGAAGTGGCAGGTGAGACTGCCACTTACTGGGGCCCAGTTAGAAAGTGTCTCTCAGAGAATGTGTTGCAGGGTTTAGTCAATCTCGGACCGACTGCCGATGGCTGTAATATGATATGCTTCCGCTTATGGTTGATTCTCAAAGATCTTTTTTTTCAAGATGTTATTTTAAGATTACAACTGCATGTTTTTAATAATGCAACAGGTGCTTGTTGTATTGTGGTTTACCAGTATAGAGTTCAGGTGGTCCCACAGAATGAGACGAGGTCAGAGTGATCTCTGCTACTATGTGGGACTTAACGATCAGGTTAGGTGCATTGAGGTAAAATAATGCATCAGTGATTGTGGTAGGATTAATTATAGGTAATATTGATGATCAGGGCTCTGGGCCCTCATTCACTGTTATTCAGTAAGAAGGAAAGTAGAGAATATGTTCACATCTGTCCTCATGACTAGAAATATTCTGCTAAGCTATTGCAGTGTACAATATTTGCATTGTACTTTTAGGCCAGACTTCATGTAATCACAGTAGACGTAATACTGTCCTCATCGGTATTGAGCGTGGTCTGTCCATGAAAAGTTGAACAGGACGGATGCAGGTGGAATCACTATTCACTCATGAATTCATTTTCCAATCATGCCTACCGTATTTGCTGTAATATACACCCTGGCACTTAGAAAATTGAAGGGAGTATTTATTAAAACCATGCACAAGTTCAGTTTGTGTTCAGACATCGAGCAGTAGTTAACAAATGTTTACGAAACTAGCAAAATAAAAAAATCTAATTTTCACAGAAAACATCTAATTAAACAGAGTTAATGATATGATTAATGGATTTCCAGGGGATTTCAGAATAAGATTATACAGTGTTATTAACTTGTGTTAACAATTTGTGCTTCTTACAAAACTTTGAAAATGTTCAACATTATGATGGAAATTAAACATGCTTATTATGTCTTGTTATGTAACAGTAATTAACAATGATTAAGGCTCTGTTATGTAAGAGAAAAATGTATAATTGTAACTGGATTGGATAATTATATTTTTGTCAGATTTCCACCTTTATACATGTTGTAGTGGATACAACTCATATTTCAAGCTCATAATATGTTTTATTGTCAGTTTGTAAAAAAAACTTTGTGTAACTAATCAACATCTTCAATGCCCTATGACCTTTACATTGGGTAGGGCTGGGACGAGTCCAAATATACTACCTGGGTACCCAACACCCTATTACCCGACCCTACCCAGGTATAGACAGTAGGTCTCAAGAAATGGGTACAAAATGTCCGATAGGGAATTATTTTACCGGAGCCCTGGCAGAAAGTGTTTAGATATGATCTGGTCATGCTTACACAGACGTTGATTGAAACATCATACTTATTCAAACCTATAAAAGTCAGGAGGAATGTGTGCAAACAAATGCGAACATCAGTGACTTGTGGTGTCACTGTGGAGTTATAAGATGATTTTTATCAATAAACAAGATATCACATGACTAACCACGGGTCTGAATAGTCCTGCCAATACCCAGATCCTTCTCAGTACCCACGGGACCCGAGTATCCAATTTAACCATCCCAGCCCTAGAGTTATGACTATTATTTTTGCTAATCATGCTAATTGTTGCTAGTCTTGCTAATAATCAAGTTACTACAATATAATTATATATCTATACACATTTGTATATACATGTACCCAAATTGTTCGATGGTAAAAGAGAATATTTAAATTGACATAAAATATACTACAAAATCATCTTTTATGTGAACATGTTGATATTTTAACAATGGGAAACATCAATACACTAACTCTATCACCTTTTTGTTTTTATAAAAACAGAAATATCCACATATGCACCATGTTCAATTAAACTGAGAAATTCCTCTAATACGGTTTGTAATAAGATATGTTTGTCTGTAGTACTGTATGAGTTTTCTTTGTGTGTTCAAAATCAGTAATACAAAACCAGAATATCATTGATAATGTATTTCTTTAACATGTTTTAGTCGTCAGAAGGTGATTTTTGACGGTAGGTATTCCAGATGAAACACAACTACACAGCTCTCCATCACTGAGTGAGAGATGGGTCATCTGTGTCCTGACTGACCAGTTAATGAAGTGTTGTGGAGTGCCGGCCCCCCAGCCACATCGGCACCAGCAGGCTCACTCCCACTACAACAAATGTGTTGTTGGTGGATGTAGGGCCAGCTAATATTAGGTTGGGTCCGTGATATGGGTGTAACAATTCACCAAAGGTCCAGATAAGCTATGCATTTGCTTAAAATGTGCAAAATAAGTCACAATAACCCAAATAATTTTGAGTTGCTTGCATACAAATACTGATAAAAGTTTCCAAAAAACAATAATAACAACACTGTATAGTTACCCAATTTACAGATTTATATATACAGATTGATGCAGGCGTCGCACATTCATGAACACTCCTGCTGTGAATAAAGCAGTAATAGGCGTCAGTTAGACAGGTGTTGCTCTTGTGAGTTTAGATGACATGTGAGACACTTGGGGCAGCACATGAACAGATACAAAATAGAAATCACCTGAAACAGCATCAAGCAGAATTATGTGAAAAAAAATGTCTACTCATTAGTTTAAAGTTAAGCAATTGACAAAGGAGAAAAAATATATTGAATACCGAGAGAAAACTATCAATACCCAATGTGAATGATAACGTGTGTACATGCTCAGTGGCTAAAAAAGTTATTTGGAACCCTTTTGTGTCTCTGTCTTTGATACAACTGCGATGGAGAGGGACTTGGAAAAGCATACTTAGACTGTTCTAGCCCCAGTCAGTGGCAACATTTCACTTTGATTCAATGGCCCCTTAATAAAAACTATAATAGAGCCTCTAAACATGTTACAAAACCTTAAGATGTCGTTTAATGTGGTGACTGTAAGTGTATAGTCATGACCGTGTTACAGTTTTCATGATGTTACCATGGTTACTGTATCAGTTGAGCTGAATTAATTCAGTGACAGTTATCTTTCTCTCATTGTCATTCATTTTGTTGATTACTAGATCTGTCTTGGTTGACTGGGTAAATGATATGAGAAGTAGTAGAAATCATTGTGCCTAATCCTCACGACTGGTGTTTAAAATCAAACTTTGAAGGCTGGAGAGTATCTTTCTGTGTCTCTGTCTTTGACACAACTGCGATGGAGAGGGACTTGGAAAAGCATACTTACTTACTTAGACTTTTCTAGCCACAGGCAGTGGCAACATTTCACTTGGGTTCATGGGCTCCTTAAAAACTATAATAGAACCTCTAAACATGTTAATACGCCCTGATATATCCTTAGAGGTGGTGACTGAGAGTGTGTATTCATGGTGTTACCATGGTTACTCCATCAGTAAGGCTGAATTAATTCAGTGACAGTTATCTTAATCTCATTGTCATTCTTGTTGTTGATAACAAGCTCAACGGGGTTGATCAGCTACACATTCTGAGAAGTAATTAAAATCTACTTATGAATCAATGTCGATATCCAAAACAATGTTACAATCTACTGAAACAGTTAGATGATAATGATAAACACACCTGGGTGTCTGATGTAAGATATATTTTGTTTTCTTCAGGCTTTTCATTTGTATGGATCTCTCAACATATTGGCGATGAAAATCTCTTTTTGCTAAAAATTAAACAAAGGCTGAGTGATATGTATTCTCAAGAGTGGCATGACTCTATTTCTTCATCAAAATATCTGTCACATTATGCAAATTTGAAATCACTTTTACCACTGTTTACAGCCAGAATTTTACATCAGTAATCTCACGAATAAATCACTCAGGAGAGCATATTGTAAATTCAGAATATCGCTACACGGTTTTAAGATTAACATGCTACGAAAGTCAAAACATACAAATGAAGACTTGAGTTTATATCTATGTACCCACTGTAAAGGGAGGCAAATAGAGGATGAATTTCATGTTTTGTTTATATGTTCAAAATATTCTTCTGTCAGAAACCACTATTTGCCCTGGTTATCCAATGTCCATCATGATAATCACAGTTTATGTAATCTACTCAACTCAAAAAATATCAACATTGTAAAGGCTTTGGCCTTATACTTAAATCATGTATTTAATGAGAAATAAGACTACTTGTATTTATTTTCCTGACATCACGTGACGCAGCAATTATTGTAATTGTAATTGTACTCTAGGCCACATGGCCCAAAATACTGAATAAAGAATCTTGAATCTCTTGAATCTTGAAGTAATTAAAATCAATTTTCCTTTATCCTAACAACTGGTATTAAAAGTTTAATTTTGAAGGCTGAAGAGTATCTTTCTGTTCCACTCTTAGAGAACACTTTGAAGGGACTGACCAATGGTGGCCATTAGTGGGGATTATCTGGCGCCCTGATTCACCAAACATTTGTTGCATTGTATATATATATATATATATATGCCATACTCTGTTGTGCCAGGATACAAGAATTGTATCAAAAGGTCATGTCATGATACACACATAATATATCTATGGGTGCCTTGTAAATGGTAAATGTGTACATGGTATAATGAAAGATGTTTTTTAATACTATATGCTGCTTGCATGTACAGAAGAATCAATTCACAGGTTTCTGAATTGACTCAAATCTAAATACAGGGTTAAAAAATCCTCGTATTTTTATTTTGATGGCTTGGTTAGACTTATAATGGTACTTTTAAAATAAGTTCCTGGTGCTTTTGGACTCACTCAGAAATCTTGTTTTCTAACAAATCCCTTGTGACAATGTTAATTATGAAAATACAAACATGTATGGGACAAGCAAATGGAGAATGATGTCAACACACTTAACAGGCTTAATGCACGGTGTGATTCACAAAATAAAAGAAGATATGCAGAAATTATAAACTGTATTACCAACTTCAATGAAAAAGGGTCTAACTTTTAA